GGAAAAATCGTGGGCAAATTGGAAGGTCTTTCAAATCAAATTTCCACCCCCCCCCCCTCGGCTTCCGTTCCGCTCTTACCGTTGAACAAAATTTTGCAAGCTTCTTTCCTGGTTTTTTGGAGATGTACGTGCTCCGGAGAAGAATGCATTCTGTTCCTTAGGACAGCCAGCGTAATTACCCACCGCGTTAAGATATTTTGGAGGTAAACCTTGGGAAAGTAGTAGAGAAAGATGGGGCATACGCCAGAATTTGGTACCTCCCATCCACCATGTGGTTTTCTTTTTCTCTCTCTTTTTTTTTTTCCAGCAGACAATTTCGTTCTGAGCCGGTTGAAAGCATGAGATCCACAACATTGCGGAAGGAATCACCAGCCCAGTGTTAGAATATACCCATTTTTTCTCCTTTCTTGTTTTCCCCACCCTTGTCGAACCCTCAACCATTTATATTTTCTCCCGACAGAATTCCAGACCCTTTTAACTTTGTTTGCTGTAATTTGGGCTGATTTCCTTTTTTTTTTTAACCCAGGGTCCTAATCCTGCTAGATTGCTCTTTCCTACCAGGCAAGAATCTTTCTGATCTTTAAATCTCAGTATTCTTGGTGCAGAAAAAGGGTGCTTTCCTGGAACTGCTGGATTCCCCTTTCCTCAAATTACCATGCTGGCCAAAACAATGATCAGAATTAGAGTGTTTCTTTGCAGCTCTGCCTCTGTCGTTTTGGCTGTTCTTCAGTTCTGCTTTCACCAGCAGGCGTCAGAGACATTGTGAGAGTCCCTAATCCTTCCTTGAACTATAAAAGGGGATTTCCTGTGGAATAGTCAGGCGCAACCCATCCATCATGGGTTTTACTTTCTCCTTTGCTAATTTCTTTTCTGCTCCTGCTGCCTTCCCGAACAGGGCTGGGATGGCTTGGATCCTCCTTGTTTGGATGATAGCTTCAGGTAGGAGGAATCTTTGCTTCTTTAAAAATCACCAAAACAGTGGGGAGAGGAGGAAGGTGGAATGGCCTGCCCCACGACTTATGGGTATGTTTTAGGGATTCCAGCGGACTGCGCCTTGATTGACTCCAGGGAGGATCTGTAGCTCTTCCAAGCTCTGTTGTCCATCTTACCTGTAGTCTTCCCCTTTAACCTTGACAAGCTTACTTTTTTCCAGACCATAGTCTATCAAGATCATTCTGAAACGGTACCCCGTATTTATGGAATATGGCTTTATAGAAATGAGAGCTAGATAGTGCTAGAAAGCTATGTCCACACGTTTGAATTAAAGCATCCCTGTCAGATGGATGTCTGGCAATGCTTCCAACGAGGGGGGAGCCCACTGTCGGTGTGACCCATCTTCACCTACTTAAAAAATCTCTACGTGGTCACCTTTTTTCATGGTGGAACCTACTCACCTCCTTCAATCTCTCTTTATTTCTTCCTACCTTTCTCTGCACTCCTTCTACTTCGCTGGACTTGTCTGAGCCCAGAGTTCCCACCAAGCAGAACAGAACAGAATAGAATTACACGTACCTTGACGTGAATATATATTTTTTCTGTTTCTCTTGTAGCACTACTCTTGTCTATGGCCTACACACCAGAGCAGGTCGTAGGAGTTGCAGGGAGCTCTGTTTTCTTGAAAGCAACCCCCCCTCCCAACTTTCACGTCCGGGAAACCATCTGGCGTTCCCTGATGCCTTCAGAAGAGTTGGTGGCCACCTTGTACAAGGGAAAAGCGGAGATCCAGTATCAGTCCCGCTTCTACGGAAGGACTCGACTCCACGATAACTTCACCTTAGAGATCCATCCCGTGGATTTGGAAGATGCCGGGGTCTTCTCCGTTCTCCTGGTGGACACCACAGGAAAGATGAAGCAACAGGCGTTTGGCCTGAAGGTTTACGGTACGGTGAGCTGTCCAAAAAAAGCACATGTCGGATCACCTGTTTACGCATCTATTTTTATTTCTGGTTTTAAACAAGGGTCTGCTTTTTCTCTTCTCCCCCTTCTCAAATCTACAGCCGGGGTTAATCCCATTGCTGTTAATATTATGTAGATGATTTACTCCATTCTTCATTGATCTAACAATTACAGTTCTCTGGACTGATCGGAAGCTTGAAGCTTCTTAAAAGGTCTCCGCTTTCTTAACTAGTGGGAAAATGTAAGAGCTGCATTCATATCCTATGCAAAGGTTGCTTGAAGTTAACCTTGGTTAGTTTTTGAGGAGGTCTGTGTGTGAAATAACAGCCTGTGCTTGGTGAGTTTCGACTTGGGGTGTCAAATCAAGCCTAAAGACTTCCAAACAGAGGTCACAGATGCCTTTTCCTGACAGCCAGGCTGCTTGGCATCAAATCAGATCACCAAAATGATGAAAATATCTGGAAGAAGGGGGCATCTTTTCCTGGCATCAAAAAGACATTAATACAGAGTCAGGGGTGAATCATGTCATCCTTCAAGTCTTTTTCTGTGGATTAACAGAGTCAGGAATTTCTGCCCCTTGCATTGCACTGCATTTTTTAATTTTATTTTTTAATTTAATGTTATTACTTTAGATTTCTAGGACAAACGCCACCTAGAAATGGGAGCCGGTGATGGAAATAAACATTATCCCCTCCCCAGGTTGCCACCTTCCCTGATTTCTCCTCTCTTCTCCCAGATACGGTTTCTACGCCAGTTATCCGGGTGTTTACCGAAGAAAGGGACGTCAATAGCTCCTCCGAATCCTGTACGCTGTTTCTGACCTGCTTTGCGGCGAGCAGGACTAACGTCACTTACGACTGGGCCGGGCTGGGGGGCCAGAGCGGGCCAAGGCCGAAGCACTGGCTGATGGAGGAGGGCCGAGTGCTACGGATCAAGCTGGACCCCGAGCGAGACCTTCAGGCAAGCTACACCTGCACGGCTTTTAACGCAGTTAGCCGTAAATCAGCGGCCATCGACCTCCGGGACACCTGCCAACGAGGTTCAGGTACGTGTCGGATACGGGGGGCACCCTGAAGCATCGTTCCTCAGCGGGCACCTTCACAAGGTCCTGGGGCTGCTCCTTCTCCATGCCCTAGAAGACCCCGCTCTCAGCCACGCACAGGGACCCCCCGCGCTTCCCCGAATCTCAGCGATTGCAGAAGAGTTTTTCTTTCAATCCCTGTGGATTTGTTTCTTGCAAGCACACGCCTTGAGCATTTTAGGTGCTCTCAGAGGGAGAGAAGGGGAAGAATGCCTTTTGGAAAGAGTTCCTCTGAGCACATGCAAAGGGCCTCTCCTGGCCTTCCCAGCAAGGCGTCCGGCCTCTTAAGCAAGGAGCGATGGGTGGCAACCCACCTTTGCAGATCTGTGGTGTAACCTTGCAAACCCATCCCTCTTTTTTAAAGTTTTAATCCTTTGCACACCTCAACAGGGATAAATCCCTTGCTGAACGTGGTGGGGTTCATGTCCACGCCCAAGCGTGCAAAAGCATGCCCGAAGGCAGTGCACCAAACTTTTCCAGCAGTTCTTATTCAACTGATGTCTGGAATTTCTTTCACAGCAGGAGGAATTTGGGGTGAAATTCTCCAGGGCTTTCACGACACAAATTTTGCTCCTATGGATACAGTGACCGACAGCCGTTTATTTCAAGAAAGCGGGCCTTTTGATTTATTTTTCCAAACCTCGCATTCGTCCTTTATTTTGGTCATTTTGCTTTTACCGTACAAAGAGTACGGCTTAATCCACAGTCGGGTTGCAAAAATTCTTTTTAACACTTGCTTCTTATACAGTAACTTTGTAGCTTGTTACGCTTTTTAGATATTTTTATTAGACTGGGTGTTTTTGTAAAGTTTTTCCTGGTTTGGCTCTTGAATTTCCCTTTGTAAAGCAAAGTTAAAAACATAAACAATTACATTTTTTTATCCTTATGAACCTCTTTCAGATATTTACCCCTTTTTTGGGTTGGTCCTCTATTTTTCCCAAGAAAATATGGTCACCGTAGCCATGGAGCTTTTTCGGATTGGGAAATCCGAAATATGACCAAATATGGTCAAAAGGTCATGGAGCTTTTTCGGATTGGGAAGTGTAGGAAGGCTGTGGAGGGATGGAAAAGGAGGTCCAAGAAAACAACAGTGTTTGGAATCAACCGTCTCTGCCTTATAGTCCGCTCAGAGAAATTGGAGAAATTCAAAAGAAATTCTCAAGCTCCCCGAGCGTGAAGCAGAAAAACAGAAGCCTCCTTTCCCAGGTGCGAATGCGAGGTTTGGAAAAATAAATCGAAAGGCCCGCTTTCTTGAAATAAATGGCTGTCGGTCACTGTATCCATAGGAGCAAAATTTGTGCCGTGAAAGCCTCCAAGGCCTGAGAAACTGCAAGAAAAAAAATTGGACCCACCCAAAACAGTCATTCCAAGCTGAGCTTCCTTAACTGTTCATGTTCTGTTTCTTCCAGAAGGTAAGACAGAGACGGGACTGAGGTTCAGGGATGTCCTCTTGATCGTAATCCCGGTGGCCTCCTTCTTCTTCTTGCTGGCAGCCCTTTTGTGCGTGTGCTACAAACAGCGCTCCGGTAGGTTGCTTTCTATGACGAGATTCCCCTTGTGACAATCCTAGGTTTCTTTTAACCATGGTTTGTTGAAAGAAGCATGACCACAAACCAAACGAATAAGGGCTCAGCTTAAAGCAGGGAGTAAAGCAGGATTGCTTCAAAAGTTGGGTCGGAATGGGTGTCTACCTCAGTTGGGCATCTCCAGAGGACTACAAATCCCATCCAGCAGCCTGTCTAGTATCCAGAACATGGAAGGGCTGGCCTAATTTTAGAAATTTTTCAGAACCCAAACTCCTACTTCTTCATTCATTCATTCATTCATTCACTCACTCATCACAGCTTTATCGCAACTTATTTATTGATCATATATGTATAAGCCGCCCATCTCACACAGTGACTCTTATTTACAACCCTTTAACTTTGTCGTTATTGCTGCTCTATCAGTTTTATTTATTTATTATCAGTTCTATTTATTAATAGGATTTTTTATAGGGTTTTTCCCCCACAAATTTGTTCTATGCATCTCCCGTCGCGTTTAACCTTTATCTTATTAATATTATATCATGGATGTTTTAAAGTTTTGGAAGATCTTGTAAGCCGTATTGCTTGCAACAGCTTTCAAATTTAGTAAATCGATACATCTCTGGTTATGACGAATTGTAAAAATGCGCACGCATGCATCTTTGTCCACATTTTAAAAAAATAAATAAATACAGAAATGGGCCAAACATCAAGCTAACATTGGAAGGGCACTAAAAAATTGAAGCCTGTTCTTATTCAGTAGCGAGAGAAGAAACTCATTATTTTAGTTTTTAATGTGTTCAAATAAATTCTACCAACCAACTTCCTGGAAGGATTCTACAAAAATGTATAATTAATGTATAAATGTTTAATGCTCCTGTATGTTAATATCTTTTCTACCTTGGAAGATATTATTATTTATGCATGCATTTGGTTCTTATTGTATTTTTATACCATTTTTATTGTACTTTAATTAATATTTATTTGCTGCTGTTATTGGAAACCTCCCAGAGTCACTTCCTCGTGAGTTGGGTGGTGACCAAATTTGAAATATAAATAAATAACAGAAAAAGAAAAACAAAATGAAACTTTTGGCTAAAGCCTCAGTGGGAAGAGAAAGAGAGCAAGAAAATAAATATGAAACTCAGGAAACTAAAATTAAAACTCAGAGAGAGAAACTTCAGCTTCACAGCTTAGGGAATAAGAAATATATTATTCAGACATGGAAAAGATACTATCTGGGATGGGGAGAGCCCCCGAAAAGAGAAAAGCCTCTGAAAGGGACTTCAATCCTCCCCATTTCACATGAGAGAATTGTTTAAACCAGGGTTTCTCAACCTTGGCAACTTGAAGATGTG